TCATGAGAGAAGGAAGCCTCAAGGAAGAAGCCTCTGCTCTCAAAAAAGAATATAGATGCATTCCTGGTTTGCCAGGCAACACCTAGGTGAAGATCAGGACTATAGGAACAATGTGCTCTGGACGGAAGAGACAAAGGCAGTGCTGTTTGGCCACAATGCCAGATGTCATGTTTGGCAGAAATCAAAAACTGCCTTTGACAAAAAGAACCTCATACCAACTCTAAAGCATGGTGGTGGAAGCATTATGGTTTGGGGTTGCTCTTCTGCCTCAGGGCCTGGCCAGCTTGCAATCATAGAGTCAACCAGGAATTCCACATTGTACCAGAGAGTACTTGAGGAGAATGTGAGGCCATCTTAAAAAAGCTGAAGCTGAACCGTAAGTGGACCTTGCAACAAGACAGTGACCCAAAACACTGAAGCAAATCCACAAAATAATGGCTCAAAAAGAAGAAATGGAGAATTATGGAATGGCCAAGTCAAAGCCCAGATCTTCCCCGTAGAAATGCTGTCGTGGGACTTGAAGTGGGCAGCACATGCAAGAAAGCCCTCAAACAACACACAGTTGAAGGAGTTCTGTAAGGAGGAGTGGGCATAAATTTCTCCATGTCGATGTAGGAGACTGACAGACAATTACAAGAAACACCTACAAGAAGTGATTTCTGCCAAAGTGGGCAACACCAGTTATTGAAGGCGGGGGGTGTACTATTTTTTTCCCCAGCAAACAATTGCATTTCTGAGTTTTTTTTTTGTTGAGTTTTCATTGTTATTTGTTAAATTAGATAATTTTTATCTATCAATATTGTTGAAATGAAGATCAAATATCCATACAGTCCATTCAAATATGTTGAAAAACACACACCTTTTCATGGGGTGTACTTACTTTTTTACAGCACTGTAATTAATAAAAATTAAAAATATATTTCTTACTGTAATTACTTGTTACTGACATGAGCATTAAGACAAAATATATACTGTAGTATTATTATTTTTATATACTATTAAACATATTATTATTTATTATTTTGTGTATGTAAAACTGAAAAAAGCACACTGAGGTAGTTCAAGCATGCGTAAGCTGCAAAGGAAGAAGTAAAGGTTTATTCCTTGTTGAAAAGAGATGAAAAGAAACAGCTTTCTTTTTTTCTGAAAAAAGCACATCACATTTACAATGATCTATAATAATAAATGATCTTTTATATATCTGCTGGGTCATTTTATTTTGTGAAACAGTCACAACAATACACAAATTAAATTCTATAATTGAAAAAAGAATGTCAGTATAGGACTGAGCATTGACAGGGATTCAAAACCAGGTATTTCGCATTACAGCCCAGAATTCATCCACACACCACATTAAACATTCACTGTGCCACCTGTCGATTTTATAAAGCGGTGCAATCCTGAATCAGATCATTTAAAAAATAATTTTGGGGGTCATTACAATGTGTTGTAATGCAGCACACATGGTGCATTATGGCACATTATTCTTTGATAATTCTGAATGGCTGGATATGTACAGGATTCCTTATCAATATTCAAAAGTAAGTGAATTTAAAGAAGTAGGACAACAGATTAAACTATGATAATTCACAACATCTAATGCACCACAAATGCCACCCATCAATCATCTTTGGCCACTGAAGATTCTGTGGGCTTTCAAAGATCTCTTATAGCCAGCTAAGAGTTTTTCTATTCTTGCTTTTGGAATTTCTTCCCACCCTTCCTTGCAGAACTCTACTAGCTTAAAAATATCATAAGAATATTCTTAATATTTGTATTCTTTGTCTACTTGGAACTAAAAGAGAATTATTGATCAGATTTAAAGCTTTTCACCTACAATATAAGAGAAAAAGTGCTGTGCAGATATTCTTGAAAGCAGCTCCATGCCATTCTATAACCCATACACAGCCTATTGTGCTCCTTTTCCTTCTTTGCCTCTTAGTTCAGTGTGATACAATAGTGTATGACTCCCTCTGTATCTAGGTTCTGTGTATAAGCACTTCAGAGACTGAACAAAGTAGTTCACATTATACAGAATATAATTCACCTATAGGCAAGCTAATCTTTCTCTATAAAAAATATAGAGAAAAATAGAGAGCTCATGTGATGACAGAAGTTGTGTAATCTCCCTGTGAATAGATCAGTAAAGTCTTAGAGAGACAGACAATGATGTGAGAGAAAAGAAGACTACAAAGTCAACTAAGTTACATGATAGGAGGACGGTTACCAATGTTGCTGTGACAGTGGTATACAAAAATCTGTCTTTGACCAAACAGGATCAACCAGGAAACCAAATATTTTGTAACTGTGAAATTGGAATGGCTAAGGTCAAGCACCAAACAAGGGAGGGAAGACTTAAACAACAGGGTTGACCCAACTTCAGTTAGGTACTTTCCCAAAATATTAGGAAATAAATGGTTTTACTCTTGTTATAACAGACCAGTAGTAGGAAGGTGTGTCCAATAAAAGTATAAATCTGGAGAATCCAGATGTTCAGCCTAAGGCTTGAAAATCATTATATGACCTTATATTTTAATGTTAATATTGAAAGTAGCATTTATACTAAATTCATTAGTGACTTTGACCTGGCAGTTTCTGTACTGTGAAGCTGACGGAAGCCAGATTGGAGGGGTTCGAAAAGGTTGTTTGTCATGAGGTTGTTATATACTGTAACTGAAGTGGGACAGCACATTCTAGAATTTTAGCAAGAAAGGGTAAGTTGAAGATGGGGCAAAAATTGTTAAGATTGTTGAGAGCCATGTTAGGCTTTTTTGGCACAGGGGTAATGGCGCGGTTTTGAGGACCATTGGTACAATGCCAGTGCTCGGAATCATGTATAATATTGAGGACAAAGGGACAGAGAGAAGAGAAACAGGACTGAAATAGTGGTGGGAGTGGGATCTAAAATAGATGTGGTGGGTTTCATGCGTGTAACTAGTTTATTGAGGGACACTGAATCAAGAAGAGAGAAGATGGAGAGAAGGGAACCAGGGAAGTTGGATGAGGAGGGAGGAGGTATGGAAATGATATACGTAGTGGAGAGAATGTGATGCCGGATGTTGTCAATCTTAGAACTAAAGAAATCTAAGAATGTGTTGCAAAGCTGCAATGAGGCAGGTAATGTGGTGGGGCAGTTTGGCTTGAGCAGTCTGTTGATGGTGGAGAAAAGATGTCTGGGGTTGTTTTGGTGATTTTCAATGATGTGAGAGAAGTAGGTGGATCTAGCAGACTCTATAGTAACCTTATATTCAGATAAGTAATCTCTCCAAGCATGGTTCAAGTTTTTAAAGGAGCAAAGGTGTCGAGGATAGATAAAGGAGCACTGTCAAGTAACTGCATTTTGTCCTCTAGAGGGTCAGAGGTAGAGGAACAAGATAAGGAGAACAGAACAGAATTTGCAAACCTTGTGTGATCAATTGATCGCCAGTTGCAGATATTTACAGAGCGTGGGGGGGAAGTGTTAGAAACAGGTAATTCCAGATTGAAAAGAATGGCTAAGTGGTCAGAGAGGCCTAGATCAAGGGGAGAGCAGTGGGAGACAAAAGAGTCATTTGCAATAATTAAATCTAAGGTGTGTCCTTTGTTATGTATGGATACAAACAAACTGAGTAAAATCAAAGCATCCCAATAGAGAAAGGAAGTCTTTAGCCAGACTGCAAGACCTTGAATCGATGTGTATATTAAAGATGTATCAGTAAATGGAAAGGCAGGGGGAAATTCTTAAATCAATAAGCTGTTAACCAACAAATGTACAGTATGGGATATCCTGATAGGTTTCCTAATTTTTCTTAGCTCTTCTGTTTTCTACTATTATACCTGTTGGTTTCAAATAGTAATAAACTCAATATCAAATACACATTCTTAAACTGTCAGGGTTGGTTTGGATTGAAAAGAAAGAAAAGAACCTACTTTACAAAATGTATAAAGTTAAACCCTTAACCCTATAATGAGTGAATGCAAGACTTGACACGCACCAAGAATTTGTCTTCTGTCATCAGTAAAAAATGTTAATCTTAACTATCACCATCATTATTTCTCACACTCTCTTTAATACTGTTATCATGACATTGTATTTTAAATATATTTTTGGCAGCGGCTTTTTCATGTTACTTTCAAAACACAGAATAAATACATATATTTGAAAAAGTATTTTAATTTCTATTGTGTATTAATATTTTAGCTACATACATTTTTAAAAAGTTATCTGAATTGGTTGTATCTTTTAACTTAATATAAAACAATTTCTGGCCTTTTAATCACCTGTGTGCCAAAGTTCTTCATTTCCTTCAACCTGCTGTGGTAACTAGGAAATAAGCATAATTACTGATAAAAATTAAATTAAAAAATGTCCTTTACATTTGGTGAGATTGTGTTATTCACTGCATTAACTTAGTGCAAAGTATAATAATACAAATTAGCATTTCAAAGACAAAATCATATGATATATTATTACACTACATATTATTTTAAATATGAAAAATAAAAAAGTAAAAAAACAAGCATTGTTGCAGTAAAAATCTAAGCATTCCCTTAATTAGATGGTTGGTAATAAAATTAGTGATGAAGTTAGTAATAAAGCAAAGCAGGAAACAGGATGTAAACATAAAATACTAAAACTGATAAAAATTCTGGTCATATGATGATACAATGAAATATTATTATGAATATTACCTGTGACAAACACTGTGACCTTCTAGGTTAAGTGCGAAAAGACTACATGCATTTTGTGAAAGATAAATTAATCCAATATTATTTTGTTATACAGTATGACTAACCTGTGAATTTAACATTATCACATGGTAATTTCTTTCATTATACATATTCATGTCACTCATATCATGAAACTTGAGTAACAAGAAGAGATTACATTCACAATGAAACGTAAAAACACGTAAAAAAATGGTGTTTCAGCTGTGGAGCCTTATTTAGGAGTGACACAATCATTGTTTGTTTAGCAGTTTGGAACTTGGCCTCTTGGAATAATCTTAGGTTACATAGAGATGCAGCCACTTAAAAAGCACGAGGTACGTGGTGTTAAAAAGCAGTGGGCGTGGCGCAATGTATCCCATCATACCGCCTGTTAAGTGAAATATGATAATAGTATTCGGAAGCACCTTGTAAAACCACCAGGTGGAGCTAATAAAGCTTAATGTCATTTTTATGTTATATGTCACGTTATTTACACAAAACACTGAAACTTACATCTCCTTCGAGTGGAAAACATTACTGGACATCAGAAACAACTGCAGGGATTTCTCCTTTAGTTCGCTTGACCTGTATTACATCAGCTCGTCCATCCCCTACACCTCAGACCCAGAAGACAAGGAGCCGCCTGACTGTGAATGCCAGGAGAGGAAACGGCGCAAGCAGTGCAATCACAAAAACAGAAATGCGGTAAGAGAGCCGGGCTGCAAATAAGACTAAAAGGACAGCGGAACAGACCACCTATACCCAGTATGTTCCTCACTAATGTATGGTTCGGACTGCTGCACTCGGACTGCTGTGTTTACGGAAACATGTATTTACAACAACATACTGGACTCCGCCATTCAGCTGGATGATTTTTTAATTCTCCGATCAGACAGAACAGCCACCTCTGGTAAGAATAAAGGAGGAGGTCTGTGTATTTATGTCAACCAAGCATGGTGCAGAACATGGTGTTCCTACTCCCAGCCTACAGACAACTTCTCAAACGCACTAAGGTTTCACTTATAACTCTAAAAACATGGACCAAAGATGCAGTATCAATGCTTCAGGACTGTTTTGAGTGCATAGACTGAAGTTTATTCAAAGATGCAGCCTCCCTCCACTCCTGGTGAGTGGTAAAAAGATACACAAACTCCCAAATCAAAAACCCTGGATGAACACTGAGGTCCCTGCTCAAAGCCTGTGATGTACCCTTCAAATCTGGTAATGAGGAAGAATTGAGAGTGGCATGGAAAAAATTAAGAGCTGGCATAAAATCTGCCAAGAAACAGTACAAATCCCAGATAGAACACCACTAAAACACCAACGCTAACTCACAACACATGTGGCAAGACAGAAATACAATCACAAGCTACAAGAACAAAACAAGCCCTATAAGCGGTACTGACACCTCCCTTCCAAACAAGCTTAACATCTATGCACGCTCTGAAGCTCAAAATCCCGAACCAGCCACCTGGACCACTGACTCCCCAGGCACCCCACCCCCCACACTATCCAAGCTAGATGTGTGGAAATCACTAAGTAGAGTGAACACACGAAAAGCTGCTGGACCTGATGGTATCCCTAGCCTGATACTCAGTACATATGCCTGGCAGATAGCTGATGTCTGTACTGACATCTTCAACCTGTCCTTGACCCAGGCCACTGTACCTAGCTGCTTCAAGACAACCACTATCGTATGTGGTGTGCTCTCATGAGGCACCAGTTCTTTAGGGGTTTAAGCATTTACGGGGACAATTATTAATTTTAGCAGTAAATCACAAAATTGATTCTTTTAAAAGCCTTAGAATCCAACCATGTGATATAACTCAAACAACGCACACACACAGGTACTAATACATGAGGATACATTTATTAATACATAGAATATGCATGTAAACCTAACAGATCTTATCGTGAGGTTTATCAGAATACAAAATATATATAGTCATTCAGTTACGAAGAGTAACATATATCAAGAGTACATCAGTTCAGTATATCATTCATTAAGACCGTTTCATAAATGAACTTGGTTATAACTTCTACATTAGATACTCAAAACAAGTACATAACTCTTAGGAATTAAATTGATATCAACTGGTTGGGATAACAACTGAATTCTCGAGCTGTAATGCAT